GGTCCCCTGAGCACCACCAGAAGTAACTTCTGAGTGCAGAACCAGGAGTAACCCCTGTGCATCTGTGCATTGCTGGGTGTGACCCAAAAAGCCAAAAAAAAAAAAAAGGTGAAGCCCACAGCCCTGGGACTGCAGGTCCCCACCCACCCCAGTCACTCAGCATGGTGGTGAGGGACCCCGCCTCCCCAATCTGCCTGTGTGTAACTGCATCTGGGGGGCTCTGAGCCTGCCCTCCATGCCAGGTGCACTTAGGGAAAGTGATGGCCAGATCAGAACAGTTTCTCTGGTGGCTGTGGGGGACACACTTACTTACTCGGGCTTGGAGGGGCGGGCGTGGATTCTCAGGACAGAAACCTGCGTTTCAGCGGGCAGTTTGCATACAGCCATATGGAGGCATCTGTGCTCTCGAAGCATGTGTGGGGCTGAGCAAGGGACCAAGTGTGCTTCCGGCCCCTTCCGTTGCGGTGGTGCTGGGCCCAGGGGGCTGCTGTAAAAGACGGGGATCCCCTTCTCTTTGTGCGGAACTCAACTCAGAGAGAAGGAGCATGGCAGGCGCAGTGTTGAAAAGCAAGGCCACGGTATGCAAGGCCAGAGTCATGGTGCCCCCCACGGGTCCTCTGGGATGAGATGAGTGCATGGCAGGCAGCACTCAGGAGGACTCCTGTTTCCCACTCCCCTTCCTGCAGCCCGGGCCAGATACTCAGGTTCTGTCTGGTCCATCCTGTCGTTCCCCTGACAGCTCCTGGGGATATTCTCCACAGGCCCAACTGGGATCTTCAAGATGCATGTGCCCCCACAGGGAAGCCCTCTGCCCCCCCCCCCAGGCCTCAGAGGGAGCTGCTGGGTGCTGTGCCATGCCCACCCCTCTTCCATTTCTAAGTGTGAGGCCCTGGCAACACGTGCCAGGCTGGGAAGCAAGCACAGAGGAATGGGGCCTCTATTTTTAGCAGCAGACACTCCGTGAATGTCACGGAACCAGACAGCGCACCGAATCGATTGAGTCACATTCGGGGGGGGGGAGCGGAGGGGTGGGGGTTCCGAGCGGAAAGAACAGATGAAGTCATCTGACCCAGTTCTGGCGAGCGCGCAGACTCCGCGCTCCCCACAGTGATGCCCCTCCTGCTCTCCAGCCTTCTGCTCAGTGGGAGACACCCAGGGGGGGCATCTCAGCGGGAGGGCAGAGACACGCCACAGAGGACAGCGGCAAGCACACCCCTAGACGGGACGGGAATGTGTGGCTCTGACTGCTGGTTTCAGTCGGTGACTCACGTCCTGGACCAGTGTCAGCTTCTCCCTCACGAGACGAACAAGCATGCAGGGAAGGCTCCGGGAAGCAAAGAGGGAAGGGGAGGGGTGAGGCCAACGCGAGGAACTCTTCTGGCCCTGTCCTGGGTCAGGCCGGCTCAGCTCAGAGAGCTTCAGACAGACCCACCTGATGAGGACCAGGCAAAGCAGCTGGGGTCCCGCAGCGGCCGCAGAGCTGGGCTGAGAACAAGCGTGGGGGTAGCGTGTACAGGATTGGCACACAGCCCACCCAGCTTCACTCCCCGGCATCCCAGACAGTGCCCTGAGCACCACCAGGAGTGATTCCTGAGTGCGGCAGAGCCGGGGATGGCCCTGAGAACTGCCAAGTGTCAGAAACAAAAACCACTCTGGGGTGACCTCCCCACATTCTGGGGCCACATGTAAAGCCACAGTGCCATGAGAGAGCACCTGAACCCCAGCTGCCGAGGCCCGAGACCATTTCAGAGCCAGCACCGCCCCCTCTCCCCACCCCCTCACCCTCCGCCCCATGTCTGGTTCACGGAGCTGCTGAGCTCAGCCCACAAGTCCTGACTCGCCCAGCTGTGCGCCTGGCCCAACTGGGAACCAGAGCCAGGGTGCAGGGATCTTGATTTCTCCCCGCAGTGCCCCATGCTGAGCTGTGCCGCTAACCAGTACTGTGATGCTGATGGGACATGGGTCAAGAGAGGGGGTCAGTGGGGGTATGGGAGTCAGAGGGGTGAGAGAGAAGGGCTCAGAAGGGGTAAGTGGGGTCAGAGGGGGCGAGAAGGAGATCAGGTGGCATGTGGAGGTCAGAGGGGGTGAGAGGGTAATGTCTGGGGTAGGGATCACCCCTTGTCTCACACCTCTGACCCCCTCACTCATCAGGCACAGGAGACACCCAGAAGCTCTACTTCTGCCCCTCTCCACTCCCCAAACTGGGACCAGAAGCACTGCACACTGTATTTTTGGGGTCGGGGGCTCCCTATCACCAGGGCTATACCTGGTGCCGGGCCTGAACCCCCAGGCAGAGGCGTATGTGGCCGACCCATGAGGCTGGTAACAGGTGTCTACAGAGCGAAGGCTGGGTCTAGGATGCGGGATGCCCCAGGGTGTGGGCAGCTGAGTACCAACAGGCTAAGCCTGACATCTGGGCACTGGTAGCCCATCCACAGGTGGGAGGGGCCCCACAGACCTTCACCCTGAGAGGGGGGGTGGGGACTGACAAGTGTCAGCAGAATCAAATGGGGGGCATGACCCAGGGGATCCCCGGGCAGGACCCCACGTGTCTGTGGGCGGACGGGAGCTCCACAGATGCTGGCATGTGGCATATGAGCACATAGAACCTTAGCGCTCCTGGGCCCCCAGAGCCAAGGAGAGCCTGACACCTTCTGCTTCATGTTTGTCTTTATATTCAGCGGGGGAAGAAATCATTTCATTTATGACGCCTTGTGTGGGACCAGAGAGAGAGGACAGGGGTTAAGGTGTTGGCCTTGCATGCATCTGACCCGTGTTCCATCCCTGGTACCACACAGTGTGCCCTGAGCACAGAGTCAGGCATGATCTCTGAGCATGGCTGGGTGTGGCCAGACCTCTCCCCGCGCCCCCACCACGCACACAATTATCAGGCGAAAGGGATCATTATTGGAAAAAGCTTAAGAAGCCCCACTATAGACAGAGGGTGTCATTGCTGGTTCCAGCATGATAAAAGTCAAGGTTCGGAAGGATGACTTGACTACCTTTCGTGTCTTAAAAATGTTACTTAGACCAGTGGTTTTCAGCCTTTCTACACCTGTGGGCCAGCACCTGTCTAGCACATGGTCCACAACCATAACCAAGGCGGGAGATGTATAGTTTCAGTTTCAGTCTTTCTACAGCTGTGGGCCAGCACCTGTCCCTGGAGCAGGGGTGATACTGCATAGACCAAGCACAGGTGGGCAGGAAGGGGCCAGCCTGGAGGCGCAGGTGGAAGCAGCAGCCAGGCAAGTGGTGCATTAACAGCAGGCAAAGGCAGCCTGACTTTGGTCAGGGCAGGGGTGCCCATTTCTGGTTCAGACCACTGGGAGGGGTGGGTCACGAGAGGCTGAGGTGCCCATGGTGGATCCAAGGAAGAAGGCGCTGAGAGAGGCCAGATCAAGAGAGTAAGGTGGCACAGCCAAGTAGGTGTGAAGATGCTGAGGGGGTGGAACTGGAATGGAAAGTTCCTGCTGACCTGAGCAGACAGGGCCATGCAAATGGAAATGACCCCTGTTCCCACACACATCCCAAGGGAGCTTCACCCAGACAAACAGGAGCTGGAAGAAGAGGTCAGATTGTGGGGGTGGGGGGTGCTTTCTCACTTGTGAATGGGGGTAAGTATGAGCTGCCTCGCTCAGCCTTTTCACAGGTCACCCCTCAATGGCTTGGCCATAGCTGCCTTCTTCAAAGCAGGCAGCTCTGCTCTGCTCCATTCAGTTCAAAATAGAAAGATGCTTTTCAAAGGCTTTATATCGCTGCCCTTAACTCGGGGCACTCGTGTCCACATTTTTTTAACGGTCAGCGGACACATCCATTTCACATTGAGTCCTCTCAAATTAGGACTTTCTCGAAACAAAGAAAAGGATGATAAGAGCTGTTAATTTTGGAGTAAGGCTTGTTGTCTTTAACAAGCCCTAGTGGAGGCAAGACGATCTCCTACACACACACCTCCAACAGGCAGTGCGCTTTGCCTTTGAAAACCCACCTTGGGGCCGCAGGGATAGTACAGTAAGCCGGACGCTTGACTTGCACGCCGTGGGCGCAGGTTCGATCCCCGCAGTCCTTCCAGGAGTGATCTCTGCGGCAGAGCCAGTAGCAAGCCCTGTGCGCCGCGGGCCGTGCCCCTGCGCCCATCCTCTCCTCACAGAAAGAACGTCTGGAGCCTGGGCGTCTGGAGCCTCCGCGCTAAGCGCTCCCTGGCCCAGGCTTCGGGTTCTCTGGTTCCAGCGGAGCCTCCCGCCGCGGTAACGGGCATTTCCCACACGCCAATCCCCTGAGGTGACGGAGCGCCAGGCGGCTTTCCCGCTCGGTGGAAAGGCGACATTCGTGCAAGAAACCTACGCCAGGGTCTCAGGGAGGGACGCGCGGGGCTGCCGGGGCTCCCAGGAACAGCCGAGGGCTGGGGGATGCCAGCGTCGGGGTACGGGGTCACTAGGGCGCGGGGGCCGGCGGGGACAAGCAGGGGCTTGGGACCCGCGAGCGGTGCACGCGGGGCTGACGGGGCGGGCGCGGGGCGACGGCTGACAGGACGCGAGACTGACGAGGCGCGGGGCTGACGGGTCGCGGGGCAGGTGCGAGGCTGACGAGACGCTCGGGGAGGGCGCGGGGCGGGCGCGGGGCTGACGAGACGCTCGGGAGGGCGCGGGGCGGGCGCGGGGCTGACGAGACGCGGGGCGGGCGCGGGGCTGACAGGACGCGGACTGACGGGACGCGAGGCTGACCGGGCGCGGGGCGGGAGCGAGGCTGACGGGGTGCGGGGCTGACAGAACGTGGACTGACGGGACGCGGGGCGGGCCGGGGACCGACTGGGCGGCAGCAGGCGGCTCACAGCCGGTGCGGACGCGAGGCGGAAGCGCCCGCCTGGCCCCGCCCCGGCCCCGCCCCCAGCGGCGCGCGCCGCCCTCGGCCCGCCCCCCGGCTCCCGGCGGCCAATCCCCGCGCGGCGCACGTGACGAGCGCTGCCTGCGATGACCTCATCCCTGGTGTGGGATGACGTCAAATTCAAGATGGATGGAATCACAGCGGCAGCGGCGGCTGCGGCGCGCGCGAGCCGAGTGTGAGCCGAGCGGGGCCCGGCGTCCGCTTCGGGGCTGAAGGCCGGTGAGTAACTGTCACGCCCCTCGCCCTCGGGGATCCGTGGGGCCCCGGGCTGGGCCGCGGCCGCCCCGCCAAACGCGGCCTTTCCTGACGTAACTCTGAGGTGATTTCTCGCCGCTTTTTTCTCGCCACCCGCGGGGCTGCGGGCGCCGGGCGCGTCTGCGCGTGCGCGGGGACCCGGCACGCGCCGCGCATGCCCCGCGCGCCCACGTCGCCGATTGTGCCTTCACACTGCGCATGCTCCGTGCCCGCACTGGGCCTCGCCTCGCGCACGGCGCATGCGCGCTGCCCTCACTGGGCTTCCCTGGCCGCGGCCGGGTCCCCCACGGGGGGCTACCCCGGCCGGCAGCGCCCGGGGAGCGGCTGCGCGGGCCCCCGACGCCCGGACCCCGAGCACGCCATGACCCTCTCCCCGCCCCCCGAGAGCCGGGACGGGCGGGGGGGCCCCGCCGCGGGAAGCCCCCGGCCCCAGCCTGCGGCCCGGGAGCCCCCTCGGGCCGGACCCCCCCTTGCCACGTCGGGTTCGGGCCCCGCCCCCGGGGGCTCCCGCCAGGGGTCCCGCTCCCGCCCGGCCCGCCCCCCTGCAGGCCCGGGATTGCAGCGTAGTCCCGTGATTGTCCAGGGTGGCCCTGAGTCACCGCGCAGACCCCCGCAGGACGCCGAGGGGCCGGCCGGGAGATAGACCGCCCGTGGGCCAGTGCTGGCGCCCCCGCCCCCGCCCAGAGAGTTGCCAGTGCGTGCCCAGAGCCCCAAGATAGCGCTGTTCAAAGCAGGGAAGTGGAAATGGGGCCGGGGATTCCGAGGAGTCACCTTACGTTTAATTCGGTTTTTTTGGCCTCCAGCACAATTTGTCATGTGGATGGTTTATTCATGAGGAAATGAGAGTGGGGATGGCCAGAACCCCGTCCCTGGGGTGTTTGGGCCTGGAGACCCAGGGCCGGGTTGGGAGGCTGTTGGAGCTGCCCTAGAGGGGAGTCTGGGGGGCGGGGATCCATAGCAATTTCAAAGCTGGGTTTGACGAGACGGTGGGAGGGGAGGTGTCTGCTTTGGGGTAGGGGACAGGGCGCGGCTGGCCTCCTGAGGGAAGTGGTCAGGGGGTACCACAAAGACCCAAGTCACCAGCACAGGGCTCAGCAGGCAGACGTTGGCATCTGCTGTAATCACCAGAGCCACGGAAGCCTCCAAAAGGAAAGCTGCCCGCGCTGGGCTGCGCCCCCCGTCCGGGCTTCAGCGACTCCAGCCCTGGGTGAGGGTGTGTGGAGCGCCAGGGAGACATGCACGACGGCGGGTTCCTAGCAGTGCCCATCCAAGCTGCAGGCGAGTGACGTTTACACAGAAGCCTTCACCAGTCGCCAGTCCAAAGGAGGAGGGGAGAGAGCACAGATGGTGGAGTCAGAACGGGGCCGACTCCCGTGTCCGCAGAGTGTGGACCTAGCCAGGAAGTGGCAGGCACACCAGAAACCCCGTGGAAGCGGGCAGCAGAGGGCCAGCTTTGTGCAGGGAACCCAGTCACAGCGCCTAATCTCCACTCTGTCAGGAACCGGGTGGTAGGCTGCAGAGAAGTCAGCGTGGGTACCGCAGGAGTTCTGCCTGCCAGGGACCCCGTGCATCCCTGTGCTCACTGCTTGGTGGAGAACAGGGCCCTCCCTGTTTGCGCCTACATTGTCAGGCATAGATGTGCAACAGCCACGCTCGGGGACTCCTCATGGTTCTGGAACCTAGAGTCTAGGCAGAGACTTCCCAGCTGGTGTGCCGATGGGCCCTGCTCCCGTGTCCTCCGCAGCCACACTGCTGGTGTCTACCCCGGCCTCCCCACAAGGGCACAGGGTCAGCTTAGGTCAGGAGCCACCTCAAAACCTTGCGTCACTTTCATTATTTCTTCAGGGGCCTCATCTCCAAACCGTTTCTCTTCTCGGGTGCTGGGGCCCTGGGCAGTGTGGGGTTTCGGGGGCAGGGGTCCTGTCTAGCCCTTGATGGGCTCAGCAGAGGAGTTAGAACTGGAGGCCGTGATGGTTCGGCTTGGGCTGTGTTGGGGGCAGGGGGCCTGGGTCCTTGCAGATCAGGTCTAGGAAAATCAAAGGGTGCAATGGGGTCCCTGAGAAAAGGCGCCTGGGGCTGCCAAGAGGAGGGCAGATCTGCTGAGCTGAGAGTCCCTTGGAGCCGACAGCCATTGCTTTTATAGTTTTATCTCATCTTCCCGTCAGGCTGGGGTTTCATCTCGGCTTTCCCACCCTGTGTCCCTGCCCTGCTCTCGGCCCGAGCAACCCACCTGCCACCATGCCCTGTGGTTCCTGTCGCACAGTCCCGCTTCTCAGCTGTCCATGTCTTTGTTTTTCACCTGCTGGAGCTCACTGCATCATGGAGGCCTTGTTGGGCCTGTGTCAGCCACCCCTTGGTTGCAGTTCTTGGGGACCTGCAGTGGAAGCTGTGCATCCATGATGTGCTTCACGCGTGTTTAGCGAGCTGCCTGTGTGTACCGCCCTGTGTGTGCTGCTCTGTGTATGCTTCCTTGCATATACCGCCCTGAGTGTGCCACCCTGTGTGTGCTGCTCTGCATGTACCGCCCTGCATGTCCTGCCCTGCGTGTGCCACCCTTTGTTGCTGCTCTGCGTGTGCCACCTTGTGTGTGCAACTCTGCGTGTGCCACCTTGTGTGTGCAACTCTGCGTGTGCCACCCTGTGTGTGCCACTCTGCGTGTACTGCTCAGTACATTCTGCCCTGTGTGTTCCCCCCTGAGTGTGCTGTTTGGTACATCTTGCCCTGCGCATGCTTCCTGGCCTGTGCTCTGGGCATGCTTACGTTGCTCTAGGCCCTTCAGCTGTAGGCACAGCCCTGCTGGCTCTCTGGAACTGGAAAGGGAAGGTCTTGTAAAGCTCGAGTCGCATTGAGGCCTAAGGTGCTGCTGGGGCGCGGGCACTCGGGGAACAGGACCACAGTGAGGCCTGAGGTCAACAGTGGCCCTGCACGTCTAGCCTCCGTGCTCTTCCCGGACATGCCCCGCACTCTGTGTTTGCCCCACCCTCATCGGGGCCATGCTGCTCCCTGGACTGCCGGCAGCTGAAGGGAGCCTGGGGCCCTGGGCACTGTCCCTGCAGCAGCTCTGGCCTGTGCAGATGGAGCCCTTATTGAGGGAGCGGGCGAGCTTTGAAATCTGAGCGGTGATGGCTGCTGGATACCGCATTGTCACCCCGGGCTCTGTGATAAGGTCGTGCCCAGCTTCCTGTCACCATATCACAGATCAGGAGAGGGGACTGGCTCAGGGGCAGGCCTGCTCCCCCCTTCGCTGCCCTGTGCTGCCTTCTCTGCCCAGTGGCATGGTTTGGACTGGCCCAGTTGACCATGGAGGCCCAGAGGCTTGCACGGCCTGAGGTTGATCTCTGGGTGTTCTGCCGTGATGAGGCAGTTGCCTGTGGTCCTAAGGGCCCTAGCCCAGGATGATCCAAGCCTCTGGTGCCCGCCTGCCTTTGAGACTTGATTGCTTCCTCCTTACCTGCTTCCTCAGCCCTTGCCCGGCTCCTGGGTGTCCTCAGCTGCCCTGTGCCCTGCACCTTCTGCTTCCATCCCCCTGAATGCCGGGGTTCCGGTGCTGCTGCTGCCCCATCTGCATGCCCTAAAAAGTCTGAAGTCCCTGCAGCAGTGATCTGATGTTGCCACAGGAATACTTTGAGGCTGGGGGCGGGGGGCACCTCCAAGTGTTGGGGTGCAGGCTCTGCTTCCCGGGGGCCCTGAGCACCACCAAAAGCAGTTCCTGGGCAACAGGCAAGCTCTGGGTGTGGCCCAAACACCAAAAAAGGAAAAGAAGACAGCATTGAATCAGTTTCTTCTGAGACATGGCTTCCCCACCCCTCTGAGCATTTATGGTCTGAGATAATTTTCTGGAGTCTGGCTGCAGAGGGCTTTGTGGTAGAGCAGAGGATGGGCCGGGGCAGGCCTCCTGCAGCGCTCGGCCCTGGGACCTGCGGGCGGGCGCTTCTGAAAAGCACCCAGTGGGAGGGCAGAGTGGAGCCTGAGGGTGCTGTGAGGGCCACATGAGCGCCGATGGCCCACATCCCACTCACCTCCCTCCCACGTGGTGGGTGTCTGTCTCCCTGGGCGTGCGTGTGTGTGTGTGCGCGCGCGCGCGCACACGTGCTCCTGGAGAAGCAGCCGCCAGCCAGCCACCGGGCCTACGGGAGCCTGTGGGACAGGAAGAGAGGAAGGAAGTAGGGTCTGCCTCACCATGCAGGAGGCGTCCTGTGCACCAGGAGCTCCTGCTCGTGGCGGCTCTTATGCCATGTGAGCATCCTCTGTGTGTGTGTGTAAGGGGGCCAGTCCTCATGATAACGGTGGAGAATCCCCCACAGAGGCCGAGTGCGCTTCACAGAGTCACAACCCAGCAGCGGCCTGGCCAGAGCTCGGGAGGGATGTAGGGGCGGAAGCCTTTGCCTGCAGCTGCAGTGTGAATCTCACACCGTCTCTCTTGACCTTTCAGAAAACAAAATGAACTAGAAGCGCCGAGGCAGGATCTGCGAGAGCCGTATGCGAGGACCCACGTGGTGAGCCGCCGCCCCGCTTCAGAGTCTGGGTGTCCTGGGGTTGCCTCCAGCTTATCCTGTCAGCCCTCCCGGGCCGGGCTCCCGCGGCACACCCACGGAGACCAGGGGTGGCCGGGGCTGGGCACGGCAGGGGGCAGCAAGTGGGACGACGCATGCTTGTCTAGTGTGCTCTTCCCTGCTCCACCTCCCGCTGCCAGAGGTTCCGAGGCATCAGAGCGAACTGAGGCATGAGAAGTTGGCACGCCCGGTGGGCAGCTGCCCCCTTCCCCCTCCCGCTTGCCTGATCTCGTGCCAGACAGCCCTGGCGATGTTGGCCTTTACCTGTGCTCGTGACATGACAGTTGATCTGGTCACTCAGGCAGCTGGGCTCAAACTCCGCGTTTGGAAAGAGGGTCGTGGGCAGCTGGTCCTGAGAAGGGGCCGTTTGCAAACACTGGTAACTGGGTTGGTTGGAGGGGTAGGAGTGAGACCCTCCCCCACACACGGGTGAGGAGCGTGGCTGTAGTTGTGTCTCTGGCTGCCAGGGGGAGGGCGGCATGTACGCCCCTTAGGGGCCAGAGCGTCCTTGTCCGCTCCCCTCATGTGCCAACCCAGCATGGCGCCTGCTTGTCTCTGTGCTGGGACACGCGGCTTCTGGCCTGGGAAGTGCCCTTCGCCCCTCCTCCTGCCTCCTGCCCCCAGAAGCCCTCCAGCCTTCCCTGACCTTCCTCCCTGCTGGCTCCGGGCCTCACCTGGTGCTGAGCCCACTGGAGCGTGCTTGCAGTGTCTGCTGACAGTCCCACGCACGGGCCCGTGCTGGGCAGAGGACACCGGGCGCCTGTAGCAATGCTGGAGTGAGCCACGGTGACCCAGACCCTGGCGCTGCACAGAGCTCACCTGAGATTACCCGGCTCCGGTCTGTACCACAGGGGCTGGCGGGTCTGGAGTGGGCGGTCTCAGCTCTGCTCTTTCCTGTCTGCAGTCTTGAGCGAGCACGCAGCTCCTGCCTCGGTTTCCTCTGTGCATGAGGGTGCTGCAGTTGCCAGCCAGTGGCCACCAAGGCTCACAGCAGACTTGGGGCTTCTGCCGTGGGGGTCAGGCTTGTGGGTACTCAGTGGAGGGTCAGCGTCGTCACCAGCTGAAATCCCAGCGGGGTCTCAGCACAGAGTGCCAGGGTCGCTGGCCAGGCCACATGTACAGACTCTTGCCCCGAACGTGAGAGCTGAGGTTCCCGGACTCACAGCGACTTAGAGCAGAAGGAGACATTGGCAGCTTGGGGCCAGCGGTTGCTCCTGTGGGCGCAGGGCACGACCCAGTGCTCCAGGGCCAAAGGCCTCGCTGGCTTGTCCCCACTGGGCCCTCGGCCCATGTCTGTGGTTTCTTCCCTCGTGTCCGTCCTAGTTTGGGTTCCCCAAGAGCCAGCCCTGAAACAGGATCAGGTACAGACATGTACTTGGGAAATGTCCCAGGAAGTATGAGAAATGGTGGGAGAAGTGGGAGGTGTGGTGGGGGTGCACACAGTGTCACTAATGTGTGGTGCCTGCCCGCAGGGGGCGTCCGAGCCGAGGCCCCAAAACACTTCCCCATTCTACTTCGTCTTCTGAGAGGACGCCGGGAGGTGGGGGCATCCTCTGCTCCCGCTGTCCCTGCCGCCACGGTGATGCTGCTGAACATGCGGCGCTGGGTGACTGCTCGTGGCTTTACACAGGGCCATGACCCCGTGAACCCTTAGGACGGTGTGTAGGACTGTTCACTCGGGGTTGGGAAGTTTTAAGTTTTGCTTTGAAATGAATGTATGCTTTCCTGTCGGTTGACACTCGATTTATACCCAGTTCACAGGCATATGTGCCCTGGTCCCACAGGATATTCTCCATGGGAAGGGGCCCACGTGGGGAAGCCTGAACCCCTGCTCTCGGGGGTTCTGTCCAGTTCCCTGTTCCTCATCCACGGCCACCCCCCCACCCGTCTCCGGCACCCCAGCAGTGACCTGGGAATGACCTGGCCACGCCCAGCTTCCCCCCTCCTCCTCCCTTCCCGACTCTTGTCCATGGTCCCTTCTAGCTGCCAAGCCAGGCAATGAGTGTCTGACGGTGACGCCGGCCACTGCCTTGACTTGATCTGGGGACTCCCCACCCCCCCGTCCCTCGTGCTCGGACTGTGACGGGGAACTCTCCTGGGCTCCCCATACCGTCCTGCATGGCCCCTTCCTCCTCCAGCCTGCTCTGCATGGGAAGTGCCTGGTTCCGTTTGTCCCTGCAGAGTGGTCTTGTGTTCCACCGGGAAGGCTGAGCAGCTGGCCCTCATGCTGTCCGTGCTGCCCCTGGGACGGCTGCCCCACTCCCTCCTCTCCCCATCCGAAGAGACCGTGATTCCCATAGACGGCATAGTAGGGCCAAGGCAGTATGGACATCGCCCAGCAAGAAGGAAAAGGGCCTTGATCAAGCCGTCCAGCGGGGTGCTGGGAGAGCGGCAGGACAGGGCACAGCGGCTGAGTCACTCGCTCCCTCTTCGGAAGAACCTGGACACTGGCTGGCCAGGTGGAAAAGAAACTGGGCAGGGCACCAGCCGCCAGCCCTCAGAAGGGGCCCCACACTCCAACGGCCTTTATGAACTGGCTGTGGGGCATAGCCCTGCAGGTGCTTGCTCCCTGCCTGGCCTGCTCGCTGCCCCCAGCCTGGGCTCTAGATCCTGGACACGTCACCCTCAGTCGCCGGCTGTCCTCTGACTTGGGCTGACTCTGGAGAGTGTGTGCCTGTGTGTCCGTGGCCTGAGCGAGGGCAGCATCCGGCCAGCAGAGGGCAGGGGCACCACCCAGTCCCACCTGCTCTTGGCCACCAGGTCTTATCTGCCCTCTGACCAGATGGAAACTGGGAGCCATTGCATTTGGGCCACCTTCACACAGACCCAGGAGTGGTGGCGTTTGGTCTAGGCCTCTGTGGCAACGTGCTTGGAGGAGGAAACTCTCCGAGAGCTGGCAGTGTGTCCACGGGAGCAAGAGAGCCTTGCTCCAGCCTGGGGAGCACGATTGGCCACGCGAGGGCTGAGCTGCTCCAGCGGCCTTTCTTTTCCCGCTTCTCCCAGTTCCCACGGCTACAGGGGCCTGTGGGGGGGGGGGGTGTCTTTCCCGGAGTCAGTCCGTTTCCCTTCAGAATAGACTGGGGGGCTCCGAGTAGCCTCTCAGTGAATGAGGGTTCTGTCCAAGTGACCTGGCTCATGGCCATGTGGAGTGGACAAGGGACCCGCTGCACAAGTGTGGTGGTATGGCGTGGACAAGGGTTCCACGGTGCAGTGTGGGGTATGGCATGGACAGAGGGTCGGGGGCATAGTGTGGTGGTGTGGCATGGACAGGGGGTCTGGCACTGTGGGGGGTGGTGTGGACAAGGGGTCCATGGCACAGTGTGGGGGGTGGCGTGGGCAAGGGGTCTGGCACAATGTGGTGGTATGACCTGGATGAGGGACCCGTGGCACGAACCTTTGCATTTAGCACTGCTCCCAGTGCACCTGCTTCCTGGAGGGAGGGGATGGTGCCGGGTCTGTGGTCTTTGGTTCCTCAAATTCCTCCCTCTTGGGCAGAGGTGACCCCCAGCCCGGGAGACTTGCTGGTTATGTGTGATGGGCGGGGGTGGCCTGCCGGGAGGGGCTTCCCCTCGCTCGCCCACCCCGCCTCAGCCCTGCCTCTTGTCTTCCAGCGCCCGCCATGGAGGGCCTGCTGCACTACATCAACCCCGCGCACGCCATCTCGCTGCTGAGCGCACTCAACGAGGAGCGCCTCAAGGGCCAGCTGTGCGACGTGCTGCTCATCGTGGGCGACCAGAAGTTCCGCGCGCACAAGAACGTGCTGGCCGCCAGCAGCGAGTACTTCCAGAGCCTCTTCGCCAGCAAGGAGAGCGCGGCCCAGAGCGTGTTCCAGCTGGACTTCTGCGAGCCCGACACCTTCGACCACGTACTCAACTACATGTACTCGTCGTCGCTGTTCGTGGAGCGGGGCGGGCTGGCGGCCGTGCAGGAGCTGGGCTACAGCCTGGGCATCTCCTTCCTCACCAACATCGTCTCCCGGACCCCACAGGCGCCCTTCCCGCTTTGCCCCGGCAGGAGGGCGGCGGCACTGGCGGACGATGAGGACAGTGGTGCCCAGAAGAGAAGCGTCATTGTGTGTCAGGGCAGGAGCGAAGCCCCCAGCCACGCGGCTAGTCCGAGCGCGTCTGAGCTGGGCCCCGGCCACCGGCCCTCCCCTAGCGCGGCGGCCAAGCTCAGCAGCGGGCCACCCCAGGGCCCGGCACCCGGGGACCCGTCGCGCGCCGTGGTCTCACCCGAGCGCCCCTCCGCGGCCTACCCCAAGGCCCTGGAGCACATGGGCACTGCGGAGGAGTCCGGTAGGGGCAGCCCCCTGAGACGGGCCCCGGCCGGGCCCGACAGAGAGGGGGCCGGGCCTGAGAAGCCGGGGGCCGTCGGGCCTCTCCCCAAAGGCCGAGCCCTGGAGCTGGCCCTGAGGAGGCCGCGCCCACCCGTGCCACCCCTGCGGAGCGCGTCCGAGACGCCCTACCTGCTGACGGAGACGGGCCGGGGCGGTGGCTCGGCCGAGGACCGGAACCTGCTGTACTACTCTAAGCTGGGGCTGGTGATCCCGTCCCCGGGCGCTGCCACCCCCGGAAGCCAGAGCATCGACCGGAGCGGCCCGCTGGTCAAGAGCTTGCTCCGGCGCTCCCTGTCCATGGACAGCCAGGTGCCCGTCTACTCGCCCGCCATCGACCTGAAGCCTTCCTCGGGTGTGCCTGCTGCCCTGGGGGACACGGCGGCCACCATGCGGTGCGGCCCGGTGCACAAGGCCGCCTTCCCGGAGTGCGCCGAGATCACGGGTGTGAACGCACGGGCCCCGACCCCCCAACCGCACCGCCTCCGCTCCTTCAGTGCCTCCCAGTCCACCGAGAGGGAGGCCCCGCCGGCCTCTGAGGTGCCCATCAAGACGGAGCCCCGCAGCCCGCTCTCGGACCCTTCCGACATCATCCGGGTCACCGTGGGTGATGTGGCGGCAGCCGGCTCCAGAGACCTCGCCCTGAAGACAGAGGACGACCCCAAGGCCATGAGCAGGCTGCCCGCCAAGAGGAGGTTCCAGGCTGACCGCCGGCTGCCGCTGAAGAAGCTGCGGGCAGACGGCCACGGCTCCCCCGCGTCCGCGGAGCCCGCGGAGGGGGCCGCCAGCCCGCCTCTCCTCGACGCCAACTTTGCAGAGCCCCATTCGCCTCGAGATGCCTTTGGTGAGTTGGCGGGAGCGAGGCCCAGCAGAAAGTTTAAGTGCAAACACTGCCTTAAGATCTTTAGATCCACCGCCGGCCTTCACCGGCACACTAACATGTACCATAATCCGGAGAAGCCGTACGCCTGTGACATCTGTCACAAGCGCTTCCACACCAACTTCAAAGTGTGGACCCACTGTCAGACCCAACACGGCATAGTGAAGAACCCGTCTCCGGCCGCTAGCTCACATGCCGTCCTGGACGAGCGGTTCCAGAGAAAGCTGATTGACATAGTGAGAGAGCGAGAGATTAAGAAGGCCCTGGTCCTCAAGCTGAGGCGCGCCCGGCCGGGGCCCCAGGGCCAGAGCAGCTCCCCCACGCCCGCCATCAAGAGGCCCCTGCGGCCGCGGGCCAGAGGAGCATACGTGTGCCCGCACTGTGGAAAAGCCTACCGCTTCCTCTCGCAGTTCAAACAGCACATAAAAATGCACCCGGGCGAGAAGCCCCCCGGCGCCGGGCGCGGGGTCCCGGCCCGGGAGGAGGCGGCGCGGCCCGGCGCGGTAGGCGGCGAGCAGGTTTACGCGTGCCGCCTCTGTAATGCTGCGCTCTCTTCTCTCCTAGAGCAAGGCCCCCACGAGCGCCTGTGCCGGAACGCCGCCGTGTGCCCCTACTGCAGCCTTAGGTTCTTCTCGCCCGAGCTCAGGCGCGAGCACGAGGGCCAGTGCGAGCACAGGAAGCTGACGTGCCTGGAGTGCATGCGAACCTTCAAGTCGGCCTTCAGCATCTGGCGGCACCAGGTAGAGGTGCACAACCAGAACTCCATGGCGCCGCCCGACAGCCTGGACCACAACGGCGAGGCCGCCGCTCCCGCCACCGCCACCACCGCCGCCGCCGCCACCACCACCACCACCACCATGGCGGCGGCGGGTCCCCCGCGGCCACCCGGCCCACCCAACCATGCCACTGCCGCCGCTGCCAAGGATGACCCGGTTTTCAGCGACTCCTCGGAGCACGTCAACTTCGACTCGGAGGACTCCTGCCTGCCCGAGGACCTCAGCCTCTCCAGGCCACTCAGGGTCCAGGTGAAGGAGGAGCCGGCCGAGGAGGTGGAGGACGAGGCGGTGCCCGCGCCACCCACGGCGGCCCCCGAGGCCCCCAAGGACTCGGGCGCAGGCAGCAGGGAGCCGGGCCTGTGGCCCTGTGAGAAGTGTGGCAAGACCTTCCCGGCGCCCAAGCAGCTGGAGCGGCACCAGGAGCTGCTGTGCTCAGTGAAGCCCTTCATCTGCCACGTGTGCAGCAAGGCCTTCCGCACCAACTTCCGCCTCTGGAGCCATTTCCAGTCGCACATGGCTCAGGCCGCCGACGACCCCGCCGCACCCAAGGACCCCGACACCTGCCCCGGGCCCACCAGCTCACCCTCACCCCCACCTCTGCCCCCGCCCCCGCCGCTCCCCAAGATCCAGCCCCTGGAGCCTGACAGCCCCACAGGCTTGCCCGATACCCCGGCCCCTGCCCCCGGCGCCACCGCCGCCGAGAAACTGTTTGTGCCCCAGGAGTCCGACACACTCTTCTACCACGCCCCGCCACTGTCCGCCATCACCTTCAAGAGACAGTTCATGTGCAAGTTGTGCCACCGCACCTTCAAGACGGCCTTCAGCCTCTGGAGCCACGAGCAGACCCACAACTGAGGCCGCCCGCTGCTTCCTGGGGTGGGGGACGGGGCACCGTGGACACTCCTGTCTGTGGTTCAGGGAATAACTGGGCAAGTATTTCTTCTTGGGTTCTCTCAGATACTGACCGGTAAGATCTCAGCCATGTTCTCAAGTCCAGAATGCATCAGGAGTAAGCGGGGTCATTGCAGGACTGAGTTAGATCTTAGAATCTCTAGCAATAAGAAAAAAAAAAAAAAGAAACCTCAACTTGAAAATGTTATCCTGACACTTGATAAAAAAAAAAATCAAATATTGGGTATTTTGTGGTCACGTAGAACTTTTTTTGTTATACGAGAATTGTGAGGAATTTAAATCAGCAATAGGTTTTTATAAAATAACAGAGACTTGCTCTTGGGTCGTTTACTGTAATTACTGGAGAAAATTTGGGAAATGTAAATCCCCTGATTTCCAGAGGCCCTCAGGGGAGATGGGGGGGCTTGCCATGTTCAGTGGGTGCTGCCGCAGGTCTCGCCCTGGGCACCAAGGGTCTCTGCCCACCTGGGGGTGTCCTCCCAGCAGGGCCTGCACTTATAATTCCCGCACTCCACGCCCGACTCCAGCCGCCCTGAGCCATGACTCTAGCCCCGTGGCCCCCTCCCCACGCTTTCTAGAAGAACAGGCCAGGTGCAGGCATCCAGCCGTCTGGAGACCTGTGTTCTGTTCTGTCTCGGGGAGGGTTGGCCCTGGGAGAAACCCCCCAGGTTCTGCTCGCTGTTCCCTGTTCTGTTTGGGCCTGGGGGTCTGTGCGCTGGGACTGTTTCATACCAGTTGTGACCAAAGCCTCTGGGCAGTAGCAATCTGAAGCTCCTGGGGGTTTCAGAGGGAGACTGTCGGTGGGGCAGCATGAGATGTGTCAGGGTGGGAATATCCTTTCTAGGAGCCATGCCATAGGACAGCGGGGAGGGGCTTGCGGTGTACACGACTGACCCGGGTGCCGTCGCCAGCACCCCACATTGTCACCCCGAGCCCCGCCAGGAGTGACCCCTGAGTACGGCCAGGTGTGAGGGCCCCCACCCGCCACTAACCCTCCCTAGGTCCTGATAGGATGGAAGGCTCTGAGGTGAGGGTCCACAGGGCCTGGCCACTGACGGTGACTACTGGCCTTGGTGTCCTCTGGCACCGGAAGTCTTCCGGGGGGAGGGGGTGAATTTAATGGAGAAAGGGAAAGCAACACAGTTGCCAGTCACTGCTGGTGTCTATTTCCAGGAAGAAATCTATGCATCTGAGCGACAGACAGGCCTGTGCAGTTGTGCACAGTGTGTGCAGTTGGCATTGGTGCCACCTTTACTCCCCTGGCCCCGGGCCCGCCCCGGCTCCACGCCTGTCCCCCGTAGGGCCTCAGGAGTTCCGGGAAATTCAGCATCCCAAGACTTGAAACTTTAGGCTACATTTCTGAGGATTTTTTCTAATAATGTACATCCGTAAAAACTATTTTTGATCTAAATAGAAGCTCTGCTTACCTGTTAGATTTTTAAAAAAAACTTCCAGTTGTTTTTTGTCCTTCGTTCACTTTTTCGTGTAGGCAAGGAACAGAAGATTTCAAATAAAACTTTTGAACCAAAAACATTTATAACACAGTTGTTTTTTCTATTACTTTTTTATACTGTACCTTAAAAGCATTAGACTGAAAGTTTATTTTGGTGGTCAGACAATTAAAATATGCTTCCACTCGTGTAACTATTTTAAACGTAAGAGGTAAAATAATGGAAGACGTCAATGGCTTTACTCGGTAAACTTTTTTAAGGAGAGTTGATCTCGGCCAGCAGACGCCTGGTGTAAATTGGAGCTGGCCTTTCATTGTTGCAGCCCCAGTTACTAAAGATATTCTTGTAAATGTTTTTTCTGATTGTAATTAATTTTTGGAGATGTAGAAAGCTTATTCCCGTGTAAGTATTCAGGATGCCTGCTTTTTTTATGCATTTGTGGAAAGAATGTAAGATGTTTTAATATATTCTTTGTTCATCTGAGCTTGTTATTGAATCGTGTCCTTTCTGGGTGCCTGTGGGAGTGTCAGCCCCATAAGTCCCTGGGGTTTTAATCAAAAGAAGCAGTCGATGGAGATACAAAATATTGTTTGATGTGGTAATAACATTTTGAGATAATCCACGGTTCACTTTGAAAACACGTGGTTTCCGTTCCTGCTCACGTGCTCCCTGAGCACTGCAGGAGGTGGCCCCAAGCCCCAAGAATAAATAGGGTTATACATCGGCATTTTATCAGCAGTTACAAATAGGAGTTCTGGCCCACTGGGGTCCGTGGTCAGTGGGGTGGGGTTGGGGTGGGGGGGGTTGTCCTTGGTGTCAGGAGGGAGAGGCCGGAGGGAGCTTGAGCTTTCCTCAGGTCCTGTCCTGCTGCCATTCACTCAGGAGCAGCCCTCCCTGCCCTGGGGCCGGAGGTCAGGAGAATGGGCGTGGTGGGGGAGGCCCCTTTCCCAGGACACACCCGCCCCGCACCCAGCCCCGCATCCCACAGTCCTGCCCTAGCCGGGCGCACCCCAACCAGAGGTGTGACCCCAGGAAGCTGTGTCCTGTCCACTAGCAGCGCCCATGGGGGCCATGTACAAACAGGAGCCTCTGGGCCAGGGGCACCCTCGGCGGACCCCCAGCTCCTGGCTTTGTGGAGGGGGACTTGACACCTGGCTGTCTGCAGCTAGGGCTGTGAGCCTGGAGCTCGGCAGTGAGGGGGTGTCCCTGGACCTCCGAGAATGGGACCCCTCCAAGCATCTCCTGCCCAAGCTGGCCCCCTGCCCGCCCATTCCTGCTCCCACTCGTTATTTTTTTCTCCTTTTAAGTTTTTCAGAAGCAGCTGCCAACATCCCTGTAGCAACTCTGCCCTTTGAAGAGGGAGCCCAGAACCTGGGGCCAGCCAGGGTGTGTGTGTGGTGGGGGGGGGGGGGGGTGGAGCTGGGGAGGGGCCGGATAAGGACCCCACGATTCCCCAGGGTGAGCTCAGTCTCTGAGTAACAAGCAGCAGAAGGTGTGCTCTCCAGCATCTGAGGATCCCCACATGCACGGGTCTAGGGGTTCCAAGGGGCAATTTCAGACCATGTCGAATGTCTTTAAAATGTTGGAGGCTTAGGGCTTGAGTGATAGCACAGCGGGTAGGGCGTTTGCCTTGCATGCAGCCAACCCAGGTTCCATTCCCAGCATCCCATAGGGTCCCCTGAGCACCGCCAAGAGTATTTCCTGAGTGCAGAGCCAGGAATGACCCCTGTGCATAGCCAGGAATGACCAAAACAAACAAACAAACAATTTTAATATTACTAAAAGTCATAGAGGGTGTCAATATTTAGCATCTGCAATGTTACTCTAGAACTCAAACACTCCCAGACTTAGGGGGTAGTTAGGGGTCCCACGCAACCCCTCCCCGAAGTCTCCTGGGATAAAGAGATGTCCCGTCTGTGACCCTGGCCCATGGGCACATGAGGGGCGCTGAGCATCGGGGCTGGGGTGGGGAGAAGCTTCTAGGCAACTCCCCTCAGTGTCACAGCTGTCATCCAAGCACTATTCATCCTTTTTCTCCCCATGTGAGATGTGCCAAGACGGCAGGCTCAGAAGATGGGACAGATTTCTTGGGGCCAGTCACTCCAGTCAAGAGTGAGGCCAAGGGGGTGGGAAGCAGACCTGCATCCCAGGGGCCAGGCTTGCCATGAGATAGAGATTCTACTCTGCTGGGACTTCTGAGGAGTTTAATCCTAAATGAAATCCAACAATGACTCGATTCTGCCGCCGAGGCCTGTGACAGAATCCGCTCTGTTCCTAAACCGCATTGCCCCTGCCTAACAAGTAAGCATTATCCCGTGCTCCCTTTGAAGCAGTCTCGGATTAGTCTGGAATGATGGCCTTCTGAAAATCAGTGGTGACCACATGTGACCTGGTGGAAAGTCTGCGTGGAACCGAAGGTGACCCCAGAGCCTGGAGTTCAGCCATCTGAAGACAGTGAAATGCTTTGGTTCCCAAGTGGGCCGAAGGGGAGGGGCAGTGCTGGGCCGTGACCCTTCTTTCGACTGCCCCTTGTCCCTGGGAGCCGGGAGACAGAGGGACTGAAAGAAAGGCCCGGCACCACCTTCTAGAGCTGAATCCACGAGAAGAGCCGAGGGCAGAGCAGACCAGTACTTTCCAGGCTCTGTCGGTGTCATCTGGAAGGAGCCTGGCGGGGGTACGGATGGCAGAGTCATTTGTGCAAAGGAAACGCCGGGATCTCAGATGATGGCTGGGTGTGCACACATGCGCACATGTGTGAACATGCGTGTGGAGACATGCACACACGCACGCACACACATGCACACTCCAGCCTCCCTCCTGACAGTCCCCTTGCCCAGCAGATGTGGACAGTGCAAAGGCCCCCCCCCCACCCACGCGCCTGCCCCTCCAGCCCACTCCCCACTCGGCAGCACCCCCTTACCTTCCCTCCTCCCCAGTCCCTCAGCTGAGATGGGCAGTACCAGCCCCTGCGCCCCCACCATGTTCAGGGGGCCAGGAGGGGCACCCCCATTTCTCCGGCTGAAGAGCAGGGTTCACACGGCTGAGAGCTGTGGGGAACAGCAAGACAGGTCCGTGGCACTGCTGTACCCCGCATCCCTCCTGGAAATGGCTCTTCCTCTGTCCCGTCTCCTCCAAGCCTGGCAGGACCAGGGGCTGCCCCCCAAGCCCCTGCTTGCCTGGGCATGATTTCTGGGTCATCCAGAAGCTCGAGGACTGGCAGCTTTGCCCATCCCAGTGCCTTGATAACATGCATGAACGAACAATGAAATCATTTCAGTACAGACATAATGCAGATCTCCAGCCTCCCTTGCAGCCCCACCAGCAGGGTGCCGCAGAGATGCCCAAGGCCAAGCCCCTCCTGCAGCTGCCCCTGAGGTGAGCCAAGTCCCTCCCAGATCAGGCACCTCGGAGGGTCCCAACTTGCTTTCCAAGGGGCCAACAGCACGGCCAGAATGGGGAGGCACAGGCCCCACTCCATCTGCCCCACCCCATCTCCTGGCTTTCAGACTGGGGGAAGGG